TTGAGTACTGGTTGAAATGTTTTGTTTATATGGAACCATAAATTCTGTCATCCTAGCTTATCTATGAATGTTCTCTGAAAGCATGGCTGTTTCATTTTGATTCTGTTTTTTTCAGCCCATGGAATCAATTTCCACTTCAGTTATTTAATTTTTACTGTAGGCAGAAGAAGAATTCAACATTGAGAAAGGTCGCCTTGTTCAGACACAGAGGCTGAAAATCATGGAGTATTATGAAAAGAAGGAGAAACAAATTGAACAGCAAAAGAAAATGTAAGTTGCTCTAGGTTAGATGGTTGACTTTGGAGCCTGAGTTCTCATTTTATTGCTGATTTTATGCAAAACTCTTTTTCCCTGGCAAATGGGCAAATTGTAGCCAGTCCATTCCGTTCTAATTGTAAGCTTCTAGTATTTCCTGTGGAGAAATTATCAAGGGTGAGCTACACTAGTATAACTGTTAGTAAGTATACTGAAAGGATTTTGTGATCTCATTTAGGTTCCTGCTCTGGCAGGGGGTTGGACTGGATGATCTTTCGAGGTCTCTTCCAATCCCTGACATTCTGTGATTCTTTGTGTACTTAATGTCTAGAACTCTACCCTGGTCTGTTACTCTGGGACAGATGTTCATGTCAGGTTTAGTTTTGGTGGGTCTTCACTGAAGCACATGTGTGCAAGTTCAGAAGCAAACAGGTGAACAGGATTTGTTAGTAAATGCTGGAACATTGTTATCTTTAAATGTAAAGTATACAGTTAAATGTTGTTGTTCTTCTGTCAAAGTCTGATGGATTGATTCAACTTTATCATGCAACTTGCAGTCAGATGTCCAACCTGATGAATCAAGCAAGACTGAAGGTCCTCAAGGCAAGGGATGACCTTATTTCAGTGAGTATCTCTGTAGTAAAGACACAGAGGTTTTATTTCTACCTTCTGTTAGGAAATGTTCTTAACCATTCTCTAAAGAAAAATGTGATTCATGATTGAGAGACGTTTGCTTCAACATACAAAAACGGCTTTCCCAGCTGCTCTGAAAAGTCACTAAGGATTTAATCCAGCTTCACTAATCTGCTTTAGCTTGTTTTCACAGTTTCTATTACCTGCTCTTTTCAGAAAATAGTTCTCTGCCAGGAACATTGCAGGCAGTGTTGTATCTCATCATTTGGACAATAGCTTATTTCTTTAAAGAACAGGAACTCTCTCTTGCGTGATTAGTAGAACGTTGAAGTTCTGTTTGCCTGAAGCAACATGTATGCATTAAAGCTGGCATAGCTTAAGTATGTAGGCTTAAAACACTACTAACCAGGTTTGTCTGTCTCCTTTAGTGGCCCCTAGTTTTTGAAAAGCTTTGCTTCTTGTTCTAGTAGGTGACCAGTCTGTGTGTTAACACGTAGGGCGAGTGATCATTTCTCAGAGCAGGCTACGTTTAGTCTTAGTTCAGGCTTACTATGTTTATCTTGCACCACCTGTAGTTCATTCTCATTCTGCTCATTATACAGCTTGCAGGTTTTCTGTTATCTCTCACCCTGTCTCAGAAACAGTTTTGAGTGTTCCTTATTTTGCTAGATGGTGCTGTTGAGCTATTGGATAAGCTGTGAGACCTGTAGAAGTTAAATACAAAAAAAAAAAGGATAATGTTCAAGCTAATGCTACTATGAAAAAGAGGAGTTAGCAGAAGATAATCACCAGCTGATTGATTCCTTAAACCTAGTTTCAAACTTTAGATTATATTTGCAGAGAGGAGGAAGGTGGGTGGCTAAAGAGTTAACTCCACTGTGGTAGTCTCTGCTGGATAATCTCTTCCTCATTTATCAGCTGACTCAACCTCATGCTTCTGAGTAATACTAACACTCTTCCTCATTTTAAATCATTTAAAGTCACATGCTGCTAGCTCTTTCTTCCCTTATCAGATCTTTGGCCTCTTTCATGAACAAGAGGGATGAGCAGTTCCAGAGATGCTGTGTTACTCTAGAGTGGACAGTATAACTAGATTTGACCGTGACGTTAAATTGTGACAGTCTTATATCCTAGTATTGACTGTGTTAACATGTACTCTTCTTTTAAACACTATGAGGCAGGACAGTAAAGAAAGGTTTATACCAAATCATATAATTTCTTTATCTGAATTAATTAGGATGGCTCAGTTCTAGGAGCTGTGTTTGAATTGACTGGCATTTCTTAAAAATTCGGTCTCATTTGATAACTGATTAGCTGAACAAAGGTAATCAAAACCAGCTACTTCAAGTTAAAAATAAGCTTTGAAATTTTGACTTGCATTTACTTACAACTTAAAAAATACCTAGGCTAAATATTATTTCATAAAGATAGGTTAGATTTCTTTGCTCAGCCACAAAGCTGAAAAAAGCAGTTATTTGGACAAGTTCATTGGTTTCCATTAGGTGATGATTTACAAATTATTTAGTTTGTCTGAATATTATCAATACTAACCTTTTACTACTGAGGTCTCCCTTTTTCATGAAAAAGGAATTCTTATCAGGTTGTAATGGGTTCAGATTGGGGCACAGAGAAGGGAACTGCTTGCAAAGGGTGTTGTGCCACGCACAGAGATGAAGGTCTAGCTTGGATGAACACCAGCTGGAGTGTACGTTTGCGTGTTGGCAGGGTGTGATAGCTATAATAGGAGTACAGAAAGTTGGTAGGCATGAAACCAAATGCCAAACAGATGGGTTCTGCTGATCTGATTTCTTCTGAATGTAGGATTTGCTGAATGAGGCCAAGCAGAGACTTGCCAAGGTGGTGAAGGATACTGCCAGGTACCAGATGCTGCTGGATGGACTAGTTCTACAGGTAAATATTGAAATTGTAATAAATAGATGATTGCAGCCTTATCCTTCTGGGTGTCTTTCTTCAAACATAACCCATGGGAGGTTACAGTTTTATTGGAGTCTAGATCAAATGGTGCTGGGTGATCTTTGAGTTTTAAACATCACTTCTGCTGTATCGTTCAGTCTTGGTTTCTAAACAGATAAGGCTGCAGCTTATTTTGGGGTTTAAAACCTGGTATACAAGGCAGCAGTTCCATTATAAGAATAATTGCAGATGCACACACATACATGGTAAATGCACACTTAGGATGCACACTTTAAACTTCTGTAGTAATTGGATCAAATGCACCTTTGGCAAAAGGTGTTTCTCCAAAGCTAGAAGTCAATAATTACCTGCTTCTAAAATCCTTTCTTCATTTGAGACTTCTAAGTCCTGACTTTGACACATTTACTGTAGTATGGCAGTGACAGACATAAAGAGCAGAAATCAAACCTTTGCTTGCCTAGAATACCAAACTCTAGCCCCAAAAAACAAACTGCTACAATTCCAGTAAGCTAAGTCAGGGCAAGTTGTGTGACCACTTAGTGCCACCTTCTGGTATGAATTGGTCCTTTCCCTATAAACTCTCACTACAGAAGCCAGCCACGAGCTCTCCTGTCCCCAGTTTGATGGCAGAGTTTTCTTAACAGTGTTTCCTACTAGCGTGGTGTGCTTCCAAGTCAGTGTTGTGGCTTTGTCACGCTTAGGTCTGGCATTGCCATATGTCAAACAAACCTGTCTCGCTCTTGCAAGCTGGCCACATCTGTCTTGGTGTATTAGATTTGATCCAGTGACTCATCAATACTCACAGTTGGACTAGATAATTGTTGCAGGTCCCTTCCAACTGGAACTAAACCTATTCAAGGCAGGAATTATTAGAACAGGCACCTGAAACTACCGCACGTCTTCTCCAAGAGCTGCGCAGGAGAATGTCAGCTTGGCAGCATGCTCTGTCTACTTAAACAGCAGTGATTGTTATGTATACGTGTTCATGGTCCTATGATACATATTTTTAATTGCACTTAAGTTCCAAACTTGAAGCTAACAAAGAAACACAAAGAAATCCATAGTTGTGGACATTTTCCCCAGATATTGGTGCTGTCCTCTCAGACTGTCTGTGAGGTGAACTTGCAAACAAAGAACTAAGTAAAAGAGCTTAATATTGTCAGGTTTTGGTTTTCAAATTGATCAGCTCCTTTCCTTTCTTGGGGGTTAAATAATTCTAAGACAATCAAAATGTTAATTTTCTGATACTGTAATGGTTATCTTCTGCAGGGATTCTACCAGCTGCTTGAGCCCAGATTAGTTGTTCGGTGCAGGAAACAGGATCTGTCTATGGTTAAGGTAAGACACCTAGAATAGTTATGACAGCATCCTCCTCCTGAAAGCTGGGACCTGACTGCAAATATTTGCTGCTCAGATTCCATCTGTGTGACATGAAAACAAGCTTTGCTTGCTGCACTTTTGCTGCAGATATAATGCAAGAGAACAAGTTTGCATTTCAAACTGGGGATCATTTGCTTGCTTGGATATTGCCTAGGAAACTTTAGACAGTGCTAGAGTATTAAGAATAATAATTGCTTTGGCTCAGAAGCTGTGCTGAAATGCATTTGCTTGATTAAAAATCAAAAAAGGGCCTCAATCCCTTCATTTTATTACTGCAAATGAATAAGTGACCAAACCCAAGTGATGCACCAGCATTTGTCAATGCTAATTAGAGGTTTCTCTTGTATCCTAGACTGCTGTACAGAAGAGCATTCCCACCTACAAAAATGCCACAAAAAGGGATGTGGATGTTCATATTGACCAAGACAACTTCCTGCCAGAGGATATGTAAGGAAAATGGGAGTCTTTTATGCAGAACACTAACTTAATGCAACTTTCCAAGCCATAGCTCCTACTAGAACAGTCTCAGAAAATTATGTATGGGATATCCCCACAGTGTGTCTGCTACTGTTCTAGTGGAATGTGACACTTCTTTGTATTAATCAAGCACAGACCCCTCAGTTTCCTCCAAACAAATCCAATCTCAATCAAAAATGTCAAAAAAAAGTTTTGTGCAAGCTCCAGCTTGACTCACAGTACTGAAATAGAGAATCACTGTACACAGCAACTTCACTATTGATCTTTTAAGAGAGAGAATACGTATGTAGCCGTGCTTTCTGTCTCAAGGTGAAGCAAATTGAGTCATAAGCTGCTGCAGGATAATCACTTTAAGGAGTGTATGTCTGTTGAGTTTGCAAGGCTCTATTCCCATATAGTGCAATAAAGAACATGGCACAAAGCTGTCTATTCTGATAGTCAATATTGGTCCACAAACAGCACTTTTATCACTCTTCCTGACTTCCCAAAATCTGAAAGCTCTCTTAATACAGAGTCTGAAGCTGTTTTGAAGTGGCAATTTTCAGAGCTCCACTTGCATTTAGATCATGCTAATGATGACCCTTGTATGTAGCTGTGGTCTCTCCACACATGCTTTGCACTGCTGCCTCACTGGATCACTTTTTCCTGACTCCTATTAAGATATGATCAGAAGAAGTTTGTTTTGAAAAAAAAATGAAAGTCTTACCTACATATCTGACTTGCCTATAAGCAGTGATTTGGGGTATTATCTCTACCACATTCTGACTTTGAGATGTACCATGGATTTCACAGATTAAGTTTGGTTTTTTTCCACTTTCTAGTTCTGGAGGTGTTGAAATCTACAACAGTGATGGTAAAATTAAGGTTTCCAATACCCTGGAAAGTCGGCTGGACCTTGTAGCCCAGCAGGTGAGTTTCTCTAACAGCCAAGGTGAACAAGATATAATTAACTAGTTTTGTCTTGTAATTAAAACCCTGTGTTTCCAATGTGTTAACACTCACAATAGCGTGTGGGTTCAGATTTCAGCATGGGTGACAAGTAAGAAGTTATTTTTGAATGAAAAGAAGGAAATTGCCTGCTGTTTGTACTTCTCTACAACAGACATCACTTTTCCCAGAATGATCCCTTTTGAATTAAGCATGAGCATAAAACTCTAGAAATTATGATACTGAAAGACTTGTTATGACTGCAGTGCAGGCAAGATGTTGAAATGCTGAGGCTAACTTGAATTACTGAAGCCAGCTCGAGTACTAGAAACTTTGTGTGAGTCTTATACTGTAGTGGAAAAAAAACTAGCTCTGGCATCTCTTTCTTATGCTGCAGTACCAGCAGTCTTTTAAGTCTCTAAGAGTAGCAGGCAATATGTGATCAGATAAAGGCTTCAGAGAACTCAAATTAATTGATTTCTTAATTTTGAAGCCTAGCCTAGCTATTACACAGTGCCTGCAGTGAGGGATGTAGAGCAATTTTATTGCCTATTGCATATAACTGATGTCATCTTTCTCAACAGATGATGCCAGAAATCAGAGTGGCTCTCTTTGGTGCTAATGCCAACAGGAAGTTTTTGGACTAAACCTCTATGAGAGAAGGTGGGATCTGTTCCACTGCCATACTGAAGGGGATGCAAAAGCATCTGCTAATTTAAAAATCTTGAAATATAACATTACCGTGTCATCCAATATCTGTTCTTCAATGGAATAATTTTGCATACCTGCTGTGCTTAGTCTTTCTACTTGTGGTTAGAATGTGTTGCTTAAAGGATGTGAAGATATATGTATTCAACCAGAAGTGACACTAGAAAATGGAGGTGTTTGGGCTTTTGGCTTTCCTTGCACTGTTGTGGCTCTATCAGGACAAATGGTCCATTTAGGGTCACTCAAATCTTTGCTTTGGCCACATCTCTTTCAAATTATCTAATCTGTGAAGTAAATTACTATGCTGCCGATGAGAAATCCCTTTTCAGTTAAGGTTTTCAGTGTTACAGAGGGCATGCATTCCTTCCCTGGGGTTAGTAGTTTAATTCATGTTACTTGGTCAGGCATTTTTCTGTTCTGTATATGTGATTTTAAAAAAAAAAAAAGCCTGAGCCTGTAAAACTTTATTTATTAAAATAAAAATGCCTGTGTGTATGGAGTTCTTTGTAGCTTCTCTCTGGGGGACTGGCAGCAACCTCTGAAAAATGGGCTTGTGTGTATAAGGACTTATTACTTGAGGGCTATGTGTAGTAACTGTTCTGTGAAGCTAGAGTTTGAGTGCATGGAGTACTGTCAAGCTACTTGCTGGAGTAATGTGTGATTGTAGGCAAGCCTTCTGAACAGGACTCTAGGATGAGCTTCATTCCTCCTAAAAATTGGGTCAGGAGTTTTGCTATTTAGTCCCTCAATCGTCTTTTACAAGAGAGAGTTAGAACAACACAACTGCACTATTTAGATGTAACAAATACAATCCATTTCCATTATTCCTTTAATAATTGTGTTTCAGGACTCGAGGGACAACAGCTGACTGTTGCAACTGTTCTCTCTGTTGTTACAGTGATTATTAAATTAAATAACAGTAGTGTAACTAAATTCACTACCTAATCTCTTAAGTTTTACTAATGCTCACTTCTCCTTTGCTTCTGCTGTGATGACCAGTATTGTCTCCACATGTAGGACAGAAATACTCTTGAGGTGACTTTCCACACTACAAACCTCTACCAAACTACCTGACTCTTCACCTAGTGCTCAATTCTGAAACTTGTTTCAGGGAAATAAGAAATTGATTAATTACTGCTTGAGTAATTAATCATCTTCTGTAAGTGTTGTAGTGATTCAGGAATGGAAGAGATTTTCCATTGTGCCACAAAGAATACTTGCCAAGCTGCAGTAACCCTGCTTCCTGTGGTGTTTTTAACCTGCAGTAACCCTGCTTCCTGTGGTGTTTTTAACCTGAAGCCCTTTCTTCTCAAGCTGAGGTGCATGCCCTCATGTAGAGTTGACTCCAAATGCTAGATAAGCCTTTTACTGCCTTATTTCTCTAAAATGGAGATTGACTGCTGAGAAAATCCTGAATCCAAACTTAATCTATTTCTGGAAGAAATGTTTTTGATTTCCTCTTACAAAATAAGATTCTTTAGCAAGGTTTTCTTGTTTTACCAATCCTTGCTGTTGCATTTAGGTACTAGTTCATGTTTTCTACAGAGATGGTTATGGTATTTATTCTTTTAGTGCTTTGCTTTTCGATACATGGCTCTATGACTGGGTAATAAGTGTATCTGGACTAAAGTCCTACTTTTTCCAGATTTTTTTAATAACTGTCACAGCTTTCATCTCTACAACTGTCAGTGATCGAGCTTCCAGACTAAGCACTGGGCTCTGGTTTTGTGAAACACCTGTAGTAATGGAAAAACCTTTGCATATGCATGCCTAACTGTGTTATTTCTTGGTTCAAATAGTACTTTTTGGAACAGATTTGTTCATCCAGCTCATCAGCAGGTTATCTGCCAGTGCTTTGGAAATGCAGTTGAACTTAATTGGGTCCTTATTTTCTCTACAGCCAGGTCTACAAACAGAAACTCTAAATGTTGAAATAAGAGTGCAGCGTATGGAAATAAAAGATTGAAGGGTGAGACAAGAGGGTACTAGTCTTTGGTGGGTGATGTGCGGGGTGTGCACTATGAATATTTGCTCCAGTGCTCGATGAAAAGACTTAAAACGGATCATAAGACCATCTCTAAAGAAGTGAACGGCCTAGATTTGGCCCTCATCATTTGAAAGTGGAGCTTTTATGTTGTCCTAGTGCTACTGTTTCCCTTGGAGAACTGCTAGCAGGCAATGGTGTGGTGCATGTAGGTAAGTCACAGGCAGAATGAGCTAAAGGTCAGGACACAGAAGAGATGGATGGCTCACTTCTGCATCATTCCGCAGTGATGGGTCATATTACAACATCATCTGCAGGTAGATTTTATTCAATTAAAAAATATATATTGTATTAGAAGTTATTAAGACTTTCTCTGATACCGAGGAGACAAACAGGCTTGGCTGTGACAAAAAGAGCTTCTTTGTACAGGTCTGCTGCTTTCTTGAAGGGAGCAAGACCTTCACAAAACCAAATCTTGTATATTTTTTGAAAAGCAAAATAATAAATAGTTATGTGTCTGACTGTGCAGCTAATAGTGGAAGATATTACAGTTGCTATTTACTATTTACTTTCCTCTGTTGGTTTTGTATCTCCTCTTGTATGTTCCTGTGCAGGAAAGAGGAAGAAATAACCACTGTCATACTTGGGTACAAAAATTAGTGGCCTCAACAATATGTTTAGAGTTAGTCTCATGGGCAGCAGTGATTCAAAGCAGTGATTCAAAGCAGGTCCTTAAGAAATGGTCTGAGCTTTACATGGATCACATCTGAAGTCAGAGACTAATGGTTTGGTACCCCCCAACACCCTCCCTCCCACAAGCTGACTGAAGCACTTAAGCTTACTCGGTTTATTAGTGGAATTGCAGGTACTCTGAGCTTGAGCCTCGTCAGCTGTGACAGAAACTTCTTGCACCAGCAGTTCCCTGCAAGTGTGTTACAATGAGACACTGATTAATTTTAATCTTGAGATAATTTAATTACAAAATAATAATTTAAAAAAAAGGTGTCTGCATTACCTGAAACATCCTTGTCCTTCATTCCAGGTAATAGGGGCTGTTACCAAATTTTATTACCTTAGAGATGCAGAAGAAAATGGAATATCCCATCTAGGTTTACCTAGTGTAGTTAACAACCCTGTTGTGTCTTCATCCAAGCTTTTCTTCAGTATTTGGACACAGATGTTTACAAGTAATATGTGAAACAAAAGCAGAATTTCTGGTGGATTCCAGAGTTCCTGCTGCTGTGTCAGTCCAGCACTGTTTTATTATTTGAACTGTACTGATGGTTTAAGGAAATGAAGTAGGATGCACACTTTTTTTTCTGACTGATTTACTTGATAACCTAGGGCAAATCAGTGAGGCTATTGATCTTTATTCATCTTTGTATAAGCATGCAAAATATTCCAGTTGGGTATAGTAAACAAGCCTGAACCCAGATCAGCACATTAAGAAACTGGACAAATAAGATGGAGCAAAGGAGGCATTAAATCATGGTTCAGGTAAAAGAATTAAGTTGTGTTGGGAGAGGCAAGCACTGCAGATTAACAGAGAGTGCAGAGCTGCTTCTGTCTCGTGCTGGAAAAGGAGTTAGAGTAATAAATAGATCATGTTGCCCTTGTTCTGCACAGCTGGCCATGGAAAATTTAAGAGTGGGTTTGACACTAAGTGAGCAGCACGAGGACTTAAAATGTTGTTGCACATCTGAGTCACAACCTCTTTTTTTTTTTTTTTTTAGTCCTGAGTTTTCACACTGAGAGGTATTAACATTAATCAGAGAGACACATGCTGTATGAATGATCCCTGGAGGTGCACACAAGTGGCAGGGTGAGAGAAAGACTAGAAGAAAACAACCAGAAAGTATCTGAGCACTGAGGCCTTGATGTCTTTATTAAGCCAGTAACAGTTGACAGAGCTATACTTGAAAGGAAGCTCTGAGCTGGCTGTCAGGGGGTGAGCCACCCATCAGAAAACTGGTAGTGACAGGGCGAGTGTGCTGCAGGGAGGCTGTTGAAGTGCCCAGCTCTGAGCTGAGAGCCAGTCTTGGAGGAAAACGCAACCGTGTTTTCCATAACAAGCTTTGTTTGAAAGCTAGCAGTGAGAATCTGGCTTTTGTGTGACTCCTGCCATGAAAGCCCAGCTCCAGGCTTTGGGTGCTCACTGGCCAGAGAGGTCACAGATCCCAGTGTGCAGCCAGAGGCAAGCTGGCAGAAGGAAAGGTGTCTTGATGTTAGCAAGCAGTGGGAAATAAGTAATAGGAGAATATGCATCCCTGTTGGAAAACAGCGTTAGATAGTATCTCACACAGACCAATGGTGTGTGCAGTACAATGAGACTGGAGCCATCTCTCTAGACCCACAGTCTGTGCCCAAAATCTGGGAGATGAAGAGAAAATGACCCATTTATTGAATTCCGAAGACATTGCAGTAAATGAGGGAAGAAAAAAAATTGGAAATACAAGTGAACTATCCCAGAGGAAAATTCAAAGCAAAAAGTCTTCCTTGGTTAATCGAACTCTGAGCTGCTATTCTGGGGAGCAAAGACTCGAGACTGCAGTCAAGCAACTCTCAGCCCTGAGCGAGAGCCCAGCCAGGCTGCAGCACGGTTTGGCTGTGTTCACTGTTCAGTACAGGCAGCTCAGGGAGGCAGGTGGAGACCTCCATCCTGCATCTCAAACAAGTTTGCAAGGAACAGGCTGTGACAAGAAGGCCCTTCCAGGGCTGGGAAGTTCCTGCTGCTCCCAGCCAAGGTAGAGCTGGCTGGGAAACCCCAAATCTGTCTTCTTTAGGCAAGTCTTTCAGAGCATCCCGTACCACTTCTTTGGCTTTGCTTTAGAGAAAGCGAGAAAAACATCTGTACAGGAGCATTCTCAGGTTAAGAATCATACTGACAATGTGCCAAAAAAAGTCATTTCCCAGCCCATGTTACATTATGGAAATCAAAAGCTGAGGAAATCAAGCCTACCACATTATTTTAGGTAGTTGAAGGCTGATGTCTTGTGAGAGACTGCATAGTGAAACTATTGAGGGTGGTCCCTCGCAGCATTTCTGAAGACCTTTTTCTGTTCTGCATCCAAGAGTGTTTGTATGAGGTCAGCAGCTTTTTCCAGAGAGTCTCTGGCCCACACATCCCCTCCCTAAACACCAAGTGACTGCACATGCCCACCCAGCCTAGCACCAGCTGCAGCCCCTGGGGCTGTTCAGGATCCTGGATTTCATCCTACCATCTGCCAGTGGCAGAAACATCCTTATTTTTCACATGAAGCTGTTAGAAGTCCTTTTAACAGAGAGCTTGGAAGATCATTGGTTTCTGAGGAGCTTTGACTTTATAGCATGAACCTCTAAGGTCTGAAAGACTCATTGCCTCCTAAACCAGCTGCAGGGTATGCAGGAAGTTTGTGCTTTCTCCTCCTTCGTCTCTCCTGGCTGCCCATATGGGTTCTGTGTATTAGCAGAGCCACTTCTCTCCACATCTCCTGGCCTTCTCCCCTTTGAGGTACCTTCTGAGTTTCTACAGCTCC